AAACAAACAAACAAAAACCATATTAAGTGACAAGTGCCACAGATTAGTTTTCTATTGATTGTGTAACAAAATTCCACAAACTTACTGAGTTAAAACAATGCATATCTATTATTGCATAGTTTCTATTGGCGAAGAGTGAACTCTCTCTGAAGCCTCTCCTCAGCCTCACAAGAATGCAGTGCTGACCATGGTCAGGGTCAGTCTCATCTGAGGCTCAGGGACCTCTTCCAAGCTTATGTGGTTGTTGGCACAATTAAATCCTAACAGCTACAGAATTCATGATGGCTTGCTTCTTTAAGAACAGTTAAGAGTGGTAGAAGCAGCTCAGGAAAGCCCTAAAGCCTCTTAGATTAAGGGCTCACCTGATAAGTCAGATCAACACAGGATAATCTTCCTTTGATTAACTCAAAGTTATCTGACTAGGGATCTTCATCTGCAAAATCCTTTCACCTTCACCCTGGATCGTATGTGGGTCATGATATTCCATCATATTCACAGGTCCTTCCTACGCTCAAGGGAAGGGGATTATTGAAGACTGTGGGTTATTTGGTATTATATTACAATTCAGCCTATCATGAGCCAGAAGAGATGACTAAAGTCTGGTAATGGATAAATAGGGTAAAAAAAAGGGTCATGGCACTGGTAAGCTGTGGGCCAGCTAGACTTCTGGATGCTATGATCATTAGAGTATTTTTGTGCTATTTGGAGATGAAATTCATTTCAGACTTTTCTAAACAAAGAACCTCAAAGTTATCTTAGAAACCACACCCAATATACAATTGTTGAAATCAGATGCTACAGTCATTGGGTTCAGGTAAAGGAAAGATTTGGATTGTATGGTACACAAATGCGAAGCTCTGTAGGTTCTTTCACGGTGGATCTTAATACTTTTTATATCATTAGCTGTCTAAGCCTAGGCTAAGACAAAAGTTTATGTGCCAATAGCTGATTTGAGAATGTAATTCCTGGAGGGAAGAGAAAGGGACAAGAAAGAATGAAGCAGGAAGGAGAAACGTCAACATAGAAATGTGTTTTAACATAATCACTACTTATGGCCTAAAGAACCTTCTGAGTAACTTCTGGAGTGGAAATCAGAACTTTTCATTTGGGGATAAAAGAAAGAAGCATTGTCCTACTGGTTCCAGGAATGCACCAGTCAGCAAAAGCCAATGGTTTGTAAATGTTATGTGGATATAATGGTGTTGAGAAAGAGTAAAAGAAATAGGGTAAAGTGCTTTCAAGTTGCTCAAGCAAAAAAAACTGGTCAAATGTGTGCAGAATTCATAGTTGGAGAAGTGATGGAGGGCAAGTTTACTACACACACACAAAAAAAAAAAATTATATACACCTTAAGTAGTTCTACCCTTGAAGCCTATTCACTTGCTCAAATATAGGAACCTATGTTAAGGCAATCACTGCACAGGAATGATTTTGACAATATGGCATTCAGATAGGAAACTTAATAGATTTCCTAAAGACAAACATATGCTTTTTTGAATTTGAAAATTTTTTTCTCTATGAAACATTCTTTTTTTTTAGTATTTATTTTTTAGCTTTAGATGGACACAGCATCTTTATCTTATTTTTATGTGGTGCTGAGGATCAAACCCAGTGCCTCATGCATGCTAGGCAAGCACTCTACCACTGAGCCACAATCCTAGCCCCTGAAACATTGTCTTTTAAAATACTATTTTTATTCTTGAGAAAGTAATTGTCAATTAGGTGCTGTCTTTACTATCTATTAATTTCTTCTATGTAAGTGTGGGCTTGTTTGCATTTGTCTGGAGTCACTAGTTATAGCAGTGGTCAGAAAGACAAGGGGTAAGGTTGGAAAATGGCAAAAGGGCAGAACCCATGTTAAGGTAAACACAAGATTTGAGAATTCTGTGGGGCTGGGGTTGTGGCTCAGTGGTAAAGCACTTGTCTAGCATGTGTGAGGCACTGCGTTCAATTCTCAGCACCACATATAAACAAATGAGTAAAATAAAGGTCCAACAACATCTTTAAAAAATATTTTTTAAAAATCTGAGAATTCTAGTTTGAGGAAGCTTTCATGCAAAAGCACATCAAGAACAATAATTTAATTTCTAACTTTGACCTTGGTAACAAAAATAATTATAGTGACTAGTAAGATGAAAGTTACATATTCGATCATCATCCATCATCTTGTTCTATGCAACTCACAAGTCATAATCTGAATCTCTTAGTTCAGTCAACAGCTCAAGTCATGCTTCAGAAAGAAAATTTGTACATGGATCAGTGTAATCTCATACAATTAAAATGACAAATTCAAAGCATTCTCTTTATTGAGACATAATCACAAGAACACCCTGCAGATTCACTTAAATGAAAATTGAATTATATGTAAGTTTGCATGATGAAAAGAAACTGTACAATAATTTTAAGAAAAAACAATGGAAAGTCACAGAAGAAGGAAGATAGAATGTAAATAACACAGTATATCATGCTTAGTACATACAGATGTACAGGCACACACAAAAATAAAGAAAACTATAAGGAAACCATTAGATTTCCTCTCAAGACCACCATTAGATGTGTAATAAAATACAGAGTTAAAGGAAGAGCACTCTAACATCACATAGATTTGAGTATAGATTTGTTGTGGTTATTTGCTTTTTGCATCTTTGATGATGGGTAGAAATATTGAAAATTTGAAGATGCAAAAATAGCTCAGTCACTGGATATATAATGATTTTAGAGTCCATCAGAGAGAATACAAGAACTATCCCCAATCCTATATTAATTTCTAGATTAATATTGAGAATGTAAAAATTTGGAGCATTTACAATACAATTCAAATGTTTGCAATCTCATTAATCATTCATTGACTTTATAGGTACTTTTAAAATCAGATATCTCACCATGATCATCAAGCATGCATTTGGAATCTTCTTCTGCCTACTTTCTTCTTATTCCTGTAAAAATGGAGAGTGGTGGAACTTCAAAATTTGATGGAAGTGAAGGAAAATATCAGAAATGCCTACCTTTGGTTTGTGAAATGCTAAAGAACCATTGTGAACATTCAAAGCTAATGCATCAGCCTTCAAACCAAATTATAAAAGTGATTCTGATCACATTGTTACCTCTTTGAGATCAATCCTCAAATAAACCTATCAGTATTCCTATCTATACTGTTCAACTACCTATAACATTGAAAGAGCCCACATCTAAAGAACTGTTCCTTATAGGTGATAAACCAAAATACCTCTCTTAATTGTTACAGAGGATGAATTAAAGTCCTCAAGTGAAATAAACACACTAAAGATGCTGGACAACATATGAAAGAGATTAATCTATCTCATAAACTGTATAAACCTCACCCAAATAAACAGCAGGAGATCTATTAATCATTTTTTTAAAGTATCCTCTCAATATTGAACATATAAGTGCCATATGTATACTAATTCAAAATCTCCTTGCAACAACCAATACTTTAACTTTTAACTAATTTGTGTTTATTTTTCAAATGTATACCACAGAGGAAATATATATTTTTGTCTCATCTCATAGCTGGCCTTTTAACTGGGATATTTATTTTTTCATTTAACATAACTACTGCTGTGGTTAGGCTTAAAATGATAACTTTGCTATTGTTTTCCACATTTCCCTCCAACTCCTTCCTTTTCTTTCTTATCCTTTTCAGTATCCTCTAGATAAAGTAATTTTGCTTTGTGAATCAGTTTTATACATTTTGTTGACTTGGTAGCTCTAATTCTTTGCTTTATTTTAGTGACTATTTTATGATTTAACTTACCACTGTCTATCTTCAAATACAACTTCATATTTTATATAAAAACATTATGAGAGTATACCTTCATTTCTCTCCCAACCTTAAGATATTATCATATATTTAAATTATATGTATGTATACTATATTATTATTATTTAGTCAATTACCTTTTAAATGGATTTTTAAATATAAAAATATTTACTCATGTAGATATTATTCTCAATATTCTTCACTACTTTGCCTAGATCCATATTTCTGTCTGGTGTTGTTTTTCTTCTTTCTGAACTTTCTTTTATATTAAAGTAAGGTTTTTAGTGATTAATTCTTTCAAAAATCTTGTGGCTGAAAAATAAAGTCTTCTTTCATCTTTGTTTTTGAAGGTTGGCTTTTCTGGGTATTAAATTCTCATTTGACAATTTTTTTTCTATCATTACGTTGAAAATGTTGTTACATTGTCTTTCAATGGCCTTATTTCCAATAAGAAATATTCTATTAGCCTGAAAATTTTAACTCTATATCATTTCTTTTTATAGTGTTTGTTTTACTGTTTTTCCTTTATTGCCTATAGTTAGCAACTTAATTATGATATGTTGGTTGTTATTGTCTTTATGTGTCTCATGCTTCAGACTCGTTGAACTACTGAATGTATGGGTTTATTGTTTTCATCTGATTTGGAATATTTTTGGAAAATATTTCATCAAATATATTTTCTGTTCCCTTGCCTTAAATACCTTACAAAAATGTTTCTCCAACATTAGTATATCTGAATCATCTAGATGGCTTGTTAAAATGCAGAATTCAGGAGGTCACTTTCAGAGATCCATATTTATTATCTCTTGGATGGAGCCTGGGAATATTTGTATTTCTATCACAGTGTAGAGCCAGGCTTCTGACAATGTTAACCATCAATCTATTTCAAATGAATTTATTTTTAGGTTGTTCTTTCTTATTCCTTTTCATCAGAAAAACTCTTCAACGTCAAGAGAATCTATATTGGACATTATAGGTTTGCCTAGTAAATAGAATCCAAAAGAGACAGAGAGGCATAGCAAGGCTGACTGTAGCTTAAGTATACCTAGGAAATTTCTTACTTTACTTAAAAGTGCCTGAGTCTAGCTTCTCCAAAGTGAGCAGAGTGGTATTATTGGAAGATTATTATTTCTTAATAGTGCTTTAATCCACTTAGGCCATAATCATGATACTGTGTTTCTCAGGTCCTGTCTCATAATCTGGTCAAGGTTAATTGTCACTCCATGATGACTTCTGTTCCAGTTTTACACAGTACAGGGAACAAACATTCTACTCAGGTTCAGGAAAAGACATCCTCCCTAGCTATTTCCTGACGGACAGAATGACTTTTATGCAGCCCAATATGTGACTTCACAATATTCTCTCTATACACAGCACTTGATAATACTCTGAATTTGCTCACTCACCAGGAAACAATAAAGCTTAGTTTTCTCAATTATAGAACTATTTTCTTCTGATAATCTTGAATTTTCATATACATGGTATAGTGCCAGAAGGAATACTTTGTCAGATATTAAGAAGTACAGTGAAGCTATACAATTTTCATACCTAGAAAATCTACAACTCTCAGAGTTATTCCAATTCTTTAGCAGTGTTGTAAAATGATGCTACAAAATTAAGATCCATATACATTTTATTTTCTGATAGAGTTTTGATATTAGTTTACTAAGAAGGACCTAGATTTTATTGCTTTTCTTGATTTTAGTGGAAAATACCAAGGATGGTGTGGTTTGCAGCTTCTATAACTAACAAATTTAAAGATTTATTCTTGAGGTTAATTTGACTCTGTCTTGATGGAATAGGTTTTCTCTCATTCCATCTCTGCAGTGGGGATAGTATTAATTATCTTGATGGGCTGACTATCCTTACTAGACTTCTTCTCTTTCATAAAACACATCAATACGACTCCTGCTCAAGTTTGTTATTAAAATAGTTTTAATCTCATTACACATAACACAATGTCACTGCATTTTAAATTCTCAGAAGTGAATTTTTTTGTTACCCTAAACATCAGAAAAATTGGTTGAAAGGAACAATATTTATAGGACAATGACTTAATGATGAAATATCTGTGCCAGGACTAACCAAATTAGAGACAAACTTTCTTTGAGTTCTGCAAAGACTTCAATATGTTAATTGCAATTGGTCTGTATTATAGATCATAGTTAGAAAAACCTGAAAAATGTTTTACTTTACTCAAGGCAAGAGTTCTGACAAGGATACTGTTTAATATAGTGTACAATCTCCTTTTAATGAACACACACAGGATCAAATTCACTATAGTCAAGAGCCATAAAACATTTTCATTAAGAAATTTAATTGTATTATTTCATTAAACATACTTTACGTGTATACTTCCATTTCCTTCTTGACTGCTGACAAGCTTAGAGTAATAATAATAATCACAATTAGCAGTACAGAAATCATGCATATTATGGATTTTCTGTAATAATCTTGTTTCCTTTTTTCTTACTATCATTTTTCTTACATTTTCTCTATCCATTGTATATAGTTGTTTATTGCACTATGTATTGATGAAATAACTTTTTTAAATGCAAAGTAGATTCAGTCATTCCTAACTAATCTCTTAGGTTAAAAGTCTCCATCATCTCTCAAAACTTATGTAGTAAGGCAATACACTACTATTTAAAACAGACATTTAAATCAATAGGATAGAACTAGATAGTTCAGAAATAAACACTCCTGCTTAAGGTCAATTGATATTTAACAGAAGTGCCAAGACAATTCAATGGGGAAATAACTATCTCTTAAGCAAATAACACTGACAATGGAACACCCAAAAGTAGAAAGGAAGAATTTAGGCCCATCTCACACCATCTGGAAAATTTAACACAAAATGTCTGAGAGATCTAAATGTAAGAGCTAAAAATATAGAAATACAAGAAAAAGTTGTTTGAGATCTTGGGTCAAGCAAAGATATTTTAGATATGATGCTAAAAACATAAACAATAAGAGAAAAATTAGACTTCATCAAAAGTAAAATCTTTTACACTTGAAAGGATAACATTAAGAAAGTTAAAAGACAATCCATAAATGGAGTGTAATATTTGCAAATCATTTATCTGATAAGAGATTTATATAAAGAATATATAAAGAAGGCAAATAACCCAATTTAAAAATGGGCAAATTATCTGAGAAAACATTTCACTAAAAAAGACACAAAAAGGGCTTGTAAATACATTTAATAATGCTGAGTATCATTAGTCATTAGGGAAATTCAAATCAAAACAACAATAATACATTGTTCTACATACATTAGAAAGATATAATAAAAGAATAATAAATATTGGCAAGAATGTGAAAAGATGGGGACACTCATACATTACTGATGGGAATATAAAATAGTGTTTTCACTTCAAAAAGAGTTTGTGAGATTCTTTAGATGTTAAATCTGGAGTTATCATTTGACACGGCAATTGTATTCCTAAGTGTCTACCCAAGAAAAGTGAAACCATGTGTCCATATGCTAGCCAGCTTTTCAATGCTGTGACCAAAATGCCCGAAATGCCTGACAAGAACAACTTAGAAGAGGAAAACTTTCTTTGGTGGACTCATGGTTTTACAGGTTTAGTCCAGGGTCAAATGACTCCATTGCCGACATCATGGTGAAAGAGCCTGGTGGAGGAAAGTTGCTCAGCTCATGGCAGCTAGGAAGCAAAGAAAGAGAGAAAGGTGCCAAGGAAAGCTATAGTCCATTCAAATGATTATTCCATAAACTGGATTATTCCATTGATAAAGTTATAGCTCTCATAATCTAACCATTTCACTTCTGAACATTCCTGCATTGCCTAAGACATGAGGTTTTCAAGGACATTAAAAAATCCAAATCATAACAGTCTATAAGATATCTTGTATACAATGTTCATAAATACCCATGCAGGAGGAAAAAACAAAATATCTATGAAATGGTAAACAGAGAAACAAAATGTGGTATATTCATATAATGAGTACTATTTATCAATAAAATGGAATAGACTTCTGATCCATAGGTAACATGAATAAAATTCAAAATTCTTATGTTAACTGAAAGAAACTAAATACAAAATATGGTATCATTGCTTTTCACTTGTTTTTGTTTATTTGTTTTTGTTTGTTATTGTTGTTTAAAACTTGGAATTGAACCCAGAGGTGTTG